TGTGTGAATTCATGTGTGAAGTAATATATAGGTATCATACATATTACTTATAGTATATCATTACTGCAATTAAATGACCTGCTTTAGTATATCAATGTTCCAGACAAAAGGATAAACATTACCACAGCCAGATAAAACACGATACTCACGATTGCTGCATACGAAGCCATGGCATGATGACATAAAGCTTTCAGAACCATAATAATATCTTCGCTTTGGAGTTCATACAGCTCACAGGACTCTAGTTTCTCCAGCAAGCCATCAGACTGAAATTCAAATCAGAAGAATATTTCACGAAACAGAAAGAATAAAGGCATATACGGGAAAAAGCATGTCTATATGTACGCACGCACAAAACATAAAAAGGGGACAAGGCAAAGCTATATTTTTCTATTGTTTGTACATGCAAGACTTTCATCTACTTGTCATCATAGTCATATATATATATATATATATATATATATATATATATATATTATATATATATATATATATATATATATTATATATTTTTTTTTTTTTTTTTTTTTTTTTTTTTTTAAAGAAATATTGCACACCAGTACAATTAATACTTCTGGCAACAAATGTAATAATTTTTCCGGCAATTGTATGTAAACATGAAACTCCAAAAATTACACATGAACTAGGCAAGAAATACTAAATGGAAATTTACCAGCTCATTCTGCTCCTCTCCCATGTCATCATCGGAGTGTTGACTGACAGCATCTGAGGTCTCCTTTTTACGAAGGCAGAGTCGTGCAAGCTCAATGGCCGTTTGGTAATGAATGGTCAGGTCTTTGATCTTAACACCTAGTTCCTGAAAATGAAAATACAATGCATGATTTACAGCAAAAATGAGAAGAAAAAATAAAACAAGAACTCTATATAATCATCACTCAAAAAGATACCTTGCTGCATGTAGAAAGAGCAGCACTAAAAGTGAACTTGCGTTATCCTTATTACTAAATGCGCTGACGAGTAGGACTTACCTTTCTCTCACCAAATCTCTCATCATCAAGAATAACATGCAGCAGAAGACTTATCACTTCAGCAATAATCTTGTAACCCTTTGTTCCTGCAGAAAGTGCTTGTAAGAGCTTGCTACATGTAATACTCATCTTCTTCTCAGGTACAAGTATTTCCCTATAGCAGTCAATAAACTCCACAATCATAGCCACGTCACCAAAGAGCGAGTTTGGAATTTCCTATATGGGGGAGGGATTAGAAAAAATTAGAAAAAATATCATTCATTGTACTAAAACTATGAGATTAATTGTAAACATTGTCAGTTCTCTCTCTCTCTCTATCAAATCATAAACAAAAAAAATTCAAAGAATCATTTGACAAATTTAGATTCAGAAACTGACCTCTGGGGTGGAGACGAGCTTTGGTTGAGGAAGTGGTTTGGTGTCGGTGAGAATCTTGTCCTCAATCTTGCGTTTCAACTCTCGCTTGGTCTGGATACGCTTTTCAGCCACTTCTCTGGCCTGGGGGAATTATCAGATTTTTTCAATGCAAAGAACACAAATATAAGATAAGTTCAAAGCCATGTATGCTGTTCATGTTGCATAAATTGCTTTTATTTTGATTTGTTAAAGTTTATGCAATTTCTATATTTGTATAAATTGAGTTTGTAAAAAAAGAGAAAGAAAAAGGGGGGGGGAAAGGAAAGAAAGAAGAAAAAGAAAAATAATGATGACACAAATACAAATATAACAAAACTACAATAGAAACATTATAGGGCTACAAAAGATCAAATTCAATTAAATCAAATTACTTCTAAATTACAATTTAAAAATATGGCAAAAACAGCAGCATAATAACAAGCACAATGCTATGAAGGTGTCATGATACCAACCCCTACTATCCCAATGACCATCAATGTCATGAAACAATTTGGCTTGAAGGTTGGGTGACTTGAACATGTCATCAAGGAAAAAAGTGGCTGAGGTGGCATGACCATACCATCATGGAAAAAAATAGCTGGGGGCCGAGGTGACGTAACCATGCAAAGGGGAGACATGAATTCCTGTCACCAAAAATGAATGAATGTGTACAACCGGCCAACAAACCCAATAGAGTGGCTGCTCAAGCAACCCTAAAGCCAAGATTTTGGGCCTTATGCAGTCAGCAGAACACCTGCATCCAAGGAGACAATATGGAAGTCAGAATTAGATTACCTTTTGCTTTAGATATTCCTCTTTCTCCTCGGGTGCCATCTTGGTTAAAATACGTTTTTCAATGATGCGCTCGTGTCTCTTCAGCAGATCGTTTCTTATACCCTCATCCGGGATTACCTGTTAAACAAACACCCATGATCAGGTTTTTCAAAGTATTATTAAATAACTCAACATAGTTTACATCAATTTCAAGTATGCTAAAGTAAAATAAATATACTAAATGCTCAAAATAGAAAATCTGAAATCATGAATAAATTTCCATTCAAGCCACTGTAAACCCCTGAGGTTCTATTTACCTCCATCATCCATGGCCTGATAATATTTGGCAAGCATTTTTCCTTTCATTATCCATGTGATGCACTTAGTGTCTACAAATATGTCTGATACTCATTCCCAAATCCTGATTCCTATTATAGACCCATTTCTCTCTGAGCTAATCTTGTAGTTATGCTCCTTTTCCTACTTGTAAATGGAATGTTGTGAGTGTGAAGTACCAATTCTGGTATTGTATAGTGTATTCCACATTATATTCTCATTAGTGTATGCTTTTTGACAGTATAAAAACACAATAATTTCTGTCGTGTGAATCAACCTCTTGAAATGCTCAAAACTAAGCTTCAACCTCTTGAAATGCTCAAAACTAAGATATGTCTAAGCAAATCTTGAAAACATACCTTTTTCTGCAACTGAGGGGGGACAGACAAGTTAGAGGATTTAATGGTCTTAGGAATTATTTGTATATACTAAGCAGACACACACCTCTACTTGCTGGATGGAAATTTTCTTCAGCACCTGATCCATGGTGTAGACCAATTTGCGACCACCTCCTTGCACTCCTTTGTAAAGTTTGTAGTCGCTCACCATTTTCTTCATTAGAGGTAAGCGCATAACAGATTCTGCTGTTATCTCCTGAGGTCACAAAGTGAAACACGTTAAAATGTTACAATAACAAATATCTATTCCATGTTCAAAAGAGGAAGAAAAACACAGGGGAGAAAAGGAAAAGATAACAAGTTTCTATATACATTAATACCCATATGAAATCCTGCCAAGTTCTAGGCTGAACCACATGCACACTTACTCTCTTTTGAGGTGATCTTCTTGGGGTTGCTTTGGAACCTGGAGATTTGGCACCCACTTTCTTTGGTGTCTTCATGTCGAAGAGAGTGGCCTGCTTCATCTTCTTGGAATTTTCCTTGCCTCCTCCTGGTACTTCTTTCTTTTCACTCTTGACCAGGGGCACAATGCCTGGGGGTGTCTTTTGTTCTGGAGGTGTACTGGACTTTGGAGATTCTGTGTTACCATTTTTCATCTTTGGTGAACGACTTGCAAGCACTGCAAGGGACACATCGTCATCACTGTCACTTGATTCCAATTTCACTGGGGTTTGTAATTTGGGGGGAGTTTTCACAGGGCTTTCTGCTTTAGGTGAAACCTTGGGTGACACCTTTGGGGTCCGCTTTGACCCTGGCTTAGGGCCAGGTTTACGTTTAGGTGCATCGGGGTCACGCTTAACTCTTTTTGCTGTTTCTTTGTCTGTCTTAGGCTTAGTCTTTTTCACTGTTTCTTCTGTTTTCTCTGACTTTGGCTTTTTCACCTTCTCTTCGCCCTGGCCTTCCAACTTTCTCTTTTTTATGGAAGGACCCGTTTTTGGCTGTGTGAATATGGAGGCATACTTACCCTGGATATTGTACTGTTTAACAAGTTCTTCTGCCACGTTCCAAGGGGTGTAACAGCTTGACCGTTGTCTGATGGCATTGGCTCTTATAAAGAGACGAAAATGCTCTTTGGGAGGATTTTTGTATGTTCGCCTGTTGGAAGAAAACAATGTAATATTAAATATGTATTTAAGAAAATAACAAATGAAAAGGGTAAAGATTGCAAAAAATGGTCTACCTCACCATGATATATTATTCACAGGTGTTGTAGGTGTTAGTGTGAATACCCTTTACCTGATATTCTAATTTCATTTTCCCCTTAACTGGGTTAAATACAGCTAAGTTTCTACATCCCTCAATTGTTGTTTAATCTTATGAGCTGTGAGTGATGGTCCATCATTCAGCATGAAACACCATATACAGCTGCCACTGCAACCATAACTTAGAGGGCATGATCTATTGCACATGGAAGAGAGAACTTGTAGCTCAAATGTTCACATCACCAATGTAGATACTGTCAACTATGAACTGATTACCACAGCAGCAAAGTCCATTCAGAACATCATCAAAATCTACAAACAAGTATATGTCTATTCGGCCTATCTGACACCACCTGTTTATACGACCAAGAGGAATGCGGTAACACTTATAACGACTTACTAAAAACAAACAATGCTCTGCAAGAATGTCATAATACATATACTAAGAAGTTGTCACACTATCCTCATGGAGAGATAAGAATAGCTGATATTCCCTATTATCTGACACTGAATTTCAAGAAATTCAGATTTCTAATCCTTAACTATTCAACTCAGCAATACACTTCATAGCATTCCCACTTAACTCTTACCAGTCAAGAACAAACCATCAGCTATCACCTACCAGCTGTCAAGTCACCAACATACTCTCTTTAAAGAAATGATATCCCTATACAGATTAGCCAGAAAGTTATAAAGAGGTAGAGCCTACAATATAGATTTCTGCAGCATACTACCCTCAATCCCTTACATCATTATGGTATTCCACAATTTTCCAAAATTTCAAATTTACTGTGAAGATATGCCCTTTCTGGATTCATGTCATCAAAACTATTAATCAAATTAAATCAATCTGTTAATAATATATTTATTATTTTCTATAATCTGCCAATTAAAACTCTTTTCTCTTTTCTGACTTTAAGATATTACATCTCACATATATGATGCACTCAAAAGATTTGACATGCTCTTCCTGTAATAACCATTTGTATTATTCAAAATATTTAAGCATCAAGAACAAGTACTCACTGAAGGTTTTTTGCAGGAACGTCTACAATGGTCCTGTCTTCCCCAATGACGGAAACATCGTAGAGCAATGGCAACAATTTCTTCTTTCCTGCCGCATCCTCCTTCCCTTTTCCGCTGCTTGGGCTAGTCTCTTCACTCTCTGTCACCCCATTTCCTGTGCCATTGACAACTGAATTTTCATTTTCTGACGGTGTGCATCCATTTGCAACTTTGGGGGTGGCAGGAGCAGGGGTCTGGAGGGCCTCATTTGTTGCGTGTTCATCCTCGGTGGCCCCATTTTCAGTTTTAATTTGTACAGGAGCTTCCTTTGACCCTATCACACGCACTTGTACTCTAAGAAAATAAAAAGTATATTTCTTTAACAAACCACATCCACAAAGAAACATGAGAATGCACAAACATATATTTATGATATATACAAATATTCAAATTCATGAAAGTGCTGAACAAAACTTGGAGAGAGAGAGAGAGAGAAAAAAAAAAACAGATGCCAAAGACAAAAATGTTTATAATACTTACGGCTGAGGCCCTAAAAGAGTTAGCTCCTCTCCTTGATGGAAACGAGTGTAACAAAGGCTGGAAGTTGCTTCTACAAGCTGATCAAGAGGCAGAGTACCTGAGGTAGATAAGGGTATGATGCTTTAGCAACTGAAAGCCTGTAATTCACTTATTCACAAATCTAGACATATGAAAAAGATTACCCATGTGCACAAACGTGCAAGTACGCACATATAAATGAAGAAAAAAATGCAATAATATCAAATATAAGAAAAAATATATATAATCACACAAAAAAAATTCTTTCCAAGACAAACAACAAACCATCCTTTGATGTAAATACAACCAAGAACAAGATACTTACTATGGTGTATCAGCTGAAGGATGGGTTTCAAGAGGGGGGATGGGAAAGACGCATTGAGGAGCACTCGCACTTTGGCCTCGCTGGTCCATGCCTCTTGGTGTGTGAGGCCGGATTTGCCTGTGCACTGGCAAGTCCAGATACTCTGACTGTATAAAGCCAGTCTGTCTTCATAGTCGCTGCAGAGAAATTAATGGGCTTTGTCAGGTACTATGGGGATAATTATGGAATTTTGTTAACTGGTTAAATTGTATAAACTTCTTTATCAAGCAGATGAAAGATTTATATCTTTATTTGCTTACAATGGAATGATGAAAGATAAGAGAAAGAATGAAGAAAATTAATAGGTAACATGAAAATATATTTCATTTCAGAACAATTCTGCATAAATCCTTATTGTAACAAGAAACAGAGGCTTTTCAGCGAGAAATATCCAGTTGCCCTTCCAAACTCATGTAATATTCTATGAAACAATGTCAAATTGGTTTCTTAAATAATAAACTTGATAAATGTTAATTATACTTGATATAAGAATGGAAAATGTTGTACATATAGTGGAAAAATTATGTAAACAAGATTACATATATATAGATCATAATAAAGAGGAAAAAATAAAAAATAAAAATAAATAAATAAAAAGTAAAATAAAACAAAATAAATATATATTTTTTTTAATTCACTAGGTAACCAATGTCTCAAAAATGGCAACCCTTCCACAAAATAAGCTGAAATAGCACAAACTGGTAACCCATGAATGAGTTACCAAACAACATGACAATTAATTTTTTGCACCTGTAGGTCAATGTCCCTGAAAATACCAGAGTTTTGAATACTTGTTCTACTCACTCCTAATCTTCTCTACAAGGAGGGAGGGGAGGGAGGGAGAAAGGAGGGAAGGAGATAGATAGAAAGAGAGAGACTAGAGAGAGGAGAGAGGGAGGGAGAGAGGGAGAGAGAGACGGAGAGGGAGAGGGAGAGAGAGAGGGAGGGAGGGAGGGAGGGAGGGAGGGAGAGGGAGGGAGGGAGAGAGAGAGAGAGAGAGAGAGAGAGAGAGAGAGAGAGAGAGAGAGAGAGAGAGAGAGAGAGAGAGAGAGAGAGAGAGAGAGAGAGAGAGAGAGAGAGAGAGAAATATCAATATACTTCTTGGATAAAGTTTCTTGTATTGAATCCACTGAAAAATACCATGGATACCAGAAATCCTATAAAGACCATATTTACTTATGTGTGAATGTATAACATACAGACAAAAATACAAAATTCTAAGAGCCATAGCACATCTGATTCCATTCCAAGACTTTTTAACCAAAATTATTCTTAAAAAAGTGAGAAGTATTCCAAAGTTCATTGCACCTAATGTAAGCTTCTGTAAATTTCTATAATTTGAACCCCCTGATTCCAAGTAGGGGGGAGGAGGGGAGAGTTCTCTGTATATATTGTAATCATCAATTTGACCTTACTGTGTGAATAAGACATAGAATTATACACTTATTACATTAGATGGTGCGATGCTAGAAACATTGAAACCTATGACAAGTTTTTTTTTTTTTTTTTTTTTTTGAAATTATAAATACAATTATGTACAATTAACAATAACAATAAAAACAATAATGAAAATAAGTATATAAATTTGTAATGCATCAACAGTGAGGGCATATTATACGACTTTTCCAATGATCAATGATGCAAACAGGTGGTTCTGGGGTTTTCAACATTTTAACAAGATCAATCGCTATTCTACAACCCTAGATTTCACAAAATGTATATTATATTTAATTACTACCATTCTAAAAAGGTCATTATGTTATACAATCTGCATTAGGTAATAAACTGAGAGATAGATAAATAAATATATATATTTGCGGTTAGTGTCTAAGCAACTACTTCTTTACCTATACACACTATCCTTATCATTCTAACCTGACCTAACCTTACTATTAGCACATTTTCATACGAGGGAGTAATGTCAAAAATGTCTTCTTAGTTTTAACACAATAAGCAGTTACATATCAACTTAAATGTGATTTCCTTTGACCATTTCAAACAGTCCTGACTTATCAAATCCTCCCCCCCCTCTCCCTCTCTCACACACACACGCATGCACTTTTTAAGGAATTCTGATAATTAATATTGAGTCCTTTTACATAACCATTGGCATTATGTGAAGTAGAGAGAGGAAAAAAAAAAAAAAAAAAAAAAAGAGAGAAAAAAATATATATATAAATAGGGGGGGGGGGGGGGGGATGACCTAATGACCATGTACCTTCACACTGTCAAATTTACATCTGCTGATTATCAAACCATTCCATAAGCATTTTATGTACACTTTTTATAGCATAATCAAACTACACGACTTTGCAATATGCTTAACTTCATCAAAAAGGTAAAAGACTTTGTATATGGAAATCCATACTGGAACATCTGCTAACAGCAATAAATATATCTTAAAAAAGTATAATCAAGAAGAGGAAGAAAAAGATGGGAAAAAAAAAATTATTATCAAATACTATAATTCAAATTTTCCCTTTTTCTAGTAATAAAATAAATATTGTACCAAGGTCTTAAGTTTTAAGGAAAGACAAGGGAAGATGGAATGGGGGAGACTCCTTTACCAACACAACTAAATATCTTTCCTTTATAAATCAAATACATATATATATATATATATATATATATATATATATATATATATATATATATATAATATTATTATATATATATATATATATATATATATATATATATATATAATATATATATACATATATATATAATATATATATATATATATATATATATATATATATATATATACATATAGATATATATATATATATATATATATACATATATATATATATACATATATATATATATAATATATATATTATATATAATATCCATACATTATAACTTCAAAATACAGCACTTATATTATGGCCAGAATGCTTTTTTTTTTCTTATTTTAGTTTGGCTTAATGTTTTATAAAAGGCCTGCATACCAGAAAAACCTGACCTTGCTTTGCAGTTCAATACAGACCAATAAGACTCTGACAAAATAAGAGCTTGGACTCATTCCTTATAGGATGATTAATTGCTAGGGCAGTCTAAAAGCTTTCACATGAATACAGGTAGTGATTTGATGGTCTTTACCAGAGTGCCAATAGGCAAGAAGGCTGTGGCAAATAATGCTGGCCAATGATGGATACTTGAAGGCTTTGTATAAAAGTTTTACCCTTAGCTGTATATCCAATGAGCAATAAATAACAATTTTATATTCCCATGGTTAAGAAAAGCAAAGATTGTATTCTAACTTTCTTGCCCTGCACGTCTAAACCAAACTTCAAAGCCTCAATTGGTTAAGCCTTACTAAGCTGGCACCTGTGGGGCCTGTGGAGTCATATCATCTAAAATGCCAATTCACAGAAGGATAAACTATAAATATATAAAGATAGTCTGAACCAGTACTCATTGGATGACACTCAAATGGAAACTTGAAAGAAAAAGCATGCAAAATTTTACTACAATAATGTATTGACTACAAATTGCTAAGCTGCCATCTAGAGAACCCTTAATCTGTTCCCATAATACCTTACATGACCTCACACAAAAACACAATGGAATATGTTCCATGTTCTTATTCTGGGTATGTAAATGTACTGTATCTGAAAATGTGAATCAAAATTGGTCTATTCTTCTTAATTTAATGGATTCAGGTGCCTCGTAGCATCCACATGGTCCAAAATCTGGGCATTTAGCTTACTTGAGTAATGATTCTCTCTTGTGTATGGCAAATGGTATATATTTTGCTATTTTCCGTGATCTATAATTGCCATTCATGCTGTATCAAGATGCTAACTGATGGTTTTATATTATTGCCTAGATAATACTTGCACTTTATGCAGCAACAATAAGTCGCACTCATGTTATTGGTGTCTTTTGTACTATTCAATGTTCTGTAAGACTGGAATGGGTACCTGTGCAGAAATCTAGTGTTCTCCTTGGAGCTAGCACTCTCACAGGTATAGCTCACAGATAATAAACTGCACCCTCATCTAATAGTGGAAATAATGCAAGAGCCCCTTCCTTGGGCCTGTTCAATCCATCTCCCAACTAAATCTATGTGTATCCATGGTGAGACATCTCAACATTATCCTATAGGAAGATATTCCTGTCTCCCCGGCCCTTATCCAATTTTCTTCCATATTATTCCCCTAACTCACTCCTTGGCCAAATTTCTTCATGACAACACGTCCCTGTCAACTTAATCCACTGGGCTAAAACTCAAGGAATGGGTACACAGGCAGAGTCTAAATAAGCCTAGTAAATTAATCCTAGGCACTTTTGGCACTGATTGACTATTATGTACCTCATAATCTCACACAATAACAAGCTGGTAGGACATGTTTAATGTACTTGGCACCGAGATTATAATATAACAGAAGTGTTTCAAGTGTCTATTCCTACAACTGATGCTATGGTATATCAAGACCCTTTTTGAGACTAACATACACTAAAACTTTTGCAGTGTCCTAACACATTTTAGAAATTATTATAAAGGTTATTCTGCATGTAGTACAATGTCCTCAAATTGCAAGTAATAATGCATATTATATGTCATAGGCCATTACCTGTCACTGAAGGGTTAATAACCTACATTAATATTATATAATGAACAAAAATACGGGTAACTATTTATGAAGTGTCTGCACCCTTCTGAGACAAATTTCACTGTATGAATGAAAAACCCTTACCAGATTGTTTTATCCCCAACCAACCACCAAACTTCCGTATTTCAAAGAGAAATAAACTGAAAGCACGGTGCCTCTAAGAAGCACAATCGCTGACCGCGACTTTACAATCTACATAAATAGGTTCGTTTGTTTGAGGTAAGGCTGGACTTAGTCTCCTCATGCCATTTTTCACATTTCACAGAGAAATAAACTGAAAGCGCGGTGCATCTGTAAGAAGCACAATTGCTGATCGCAACTTTACAATCTACATAAATAGGTTCGTTTGTTTGAGGTAAGGCTGGACTTAGTCTCCTCATGCCATTTTTCACAATCTACTTTTACAATTTCTGACACTATTCTCTGGCTGTAGATTATTCATGCATCTGTTAGGGATAATCTTTATGGTATGGACACACGGAGTTATGGCTAACAGAATATCATAAACTATGAAAAAGGACAAAAGTTAGTCAATTCAGGAATTATTCTGCGGACACGAACAGTAATGCCATGAATAAAGTAAAAAGATTGCAGAAAACACCGCTCTCAGCCTAAATCCACTCAGCGCTTCCAAGTTTGAGCTCTATCTTGCCATGCATGCCAAGGTACCGACAATGTTTGCATATCAACCCTTCCTTTGGGCAGTACCCAAAGGGCACACCCAGTCACAGCACTTTAGACTGTTAAATAAATTTTGTGATGTGGAGCTGGGGACTTAGTGAATTATCTCAGTGAGTGCACCTTTTTCCTCACTAAGACAGTGCCTTTATAATTTAGTCTGGTAATAGTAGTAGTAATAGAAATAGTAATAATAATAATAATAATATAATATAATAATAATAATAAGGATGGTCATAACAACATATATACATGTACCAAAATCCTAAAATGACTAATGACTAATCTGCCTGCATTAAAAATCATGGCAAAACTACGACACAAAGTCAACTGCATAAACTGATCAATTTACACATCATAATCAGTTATACTGGCAAAATAGAGAAAAAGTGAGTTAATATAATTACATAAATTTCCAATGAAGGAAAACTTTGAATATCAAAACATACAGCATGAAAAGTAAAATGAGGAATATTAATAGAATTACTAAATAAGTGAAGAATATTAACCTTAAAAATGTCAAAGCTATTGAAAAAATCTGTAACTCAAATTATACAAGATAAATGAATATTATCTGAAGATAATATGAGATGCATATAGAGTAAACAATAATATCTATTAATTTTAAAATTTTCAATACATAACGAATACAAATATAAAATAATAAATATATATATATATATATATATATATATATATATATATATATATATATAGAGAGAGAGAGAGAGAGAGAGAGAGAGAGAGAGAGAGAGAGAGAGAGAGAGAGAGAGAGAGAGAGAAGAGAGGAGAAGGAGAGAGAAAGAGAAGAGAGAAAAGAGAAGAGAGGGAAAGAGGAGGGAGAGAGAGGAGAGAGGGAGAGAGAGAGAGAGAGAGAGAGAGAGAGAGAGAGAGAGAGAGAGAGAGAGAGAGAGAGAGAGAGAGAGAGAGAGAGAGAGAGAGAGAGAGAGAGAGAGAGAGAGAGAGAGAGAGAGAGAGAGAGAGAGAGAGAGAGAGAGAGAGAGAGAGAGGAGAGAGAGAGAGGAAGAGAGAGAGGAGAGATGGGAGAGAGAGAGAGAGAGAGAGAGAGAAGAGAGGAGAGAGAGAGAGGAGAAGAGAGAGAGGGGAGAGAGAGAGAGAGAGACGAGAGAGAGAGAGAGAGAGAGAGAGAGAGAGGAGGGAGAGAGAGAGAGAGAGAGAGAGAGAGAGAGAGGGGGAGGGAGAGGGAGAGGGAAAAACAAAATCAATTAAAGAAACAAAAAAGAAAACACACACCACAAACAAAACATGAAAATGACAACAGAATGGGGATTTAAAAAAAAGAAATGAAACAGAAAAGCCATGAAGATGAAAAATTAAAATGAGAAACAAATAAAATAATAAAAAAAGGAAACAAAAAGGTCAAGAAAGAATTCCCCGAGGGCGCCGCGGCCTCAGAGCGAAAACCTAATGAATAATTGACTGGAAAATGACAATAATCTCCATCTTGTTTCTTCAACAGATAATTTATTCCAAACTCTTAAAAGACATGTCAAATTCCCCCTTAATTTCCCCTCCTTACCACCTCTTCTCGGGACACGCCGCCCTTGCCAAGGTCACCGGCGGGCGAAATGGGCACGAAAGGACAGGGAATCAGGGAGAAACAGACGCTAAACGAGGGAGAAAAGGACACGAGATAAAACCATAAACAAGACCGGGTTCCTTTCGCGGGCAATTTTCACCTTTTCGACACAAACTTCTCTCCTGTGTGCTGTATCACGAACAATTCCCGGCCAGGCTCCATTTGATCCGGGGGCTTGATGAGCCTGAACGGCTGACCCTGCAGGAGGGGCATAGATTCAGATTTAGGGGCTGGAAATGTTCGAAAAAAAAAATTATTTCCTTCAGGAGAGCCCCTCGGAAACTGCGTCTGGCGTTCGAAACCACGGGCTGCCTGCTACTCCCGAACGACTTTCTATTTGCGTGTTTTTCTCCTATTTTTGTGTCTTTATATGCGTAATTTGGTAGTATTTTGTAAATTTTGTTATCTAAGAGAGGTAAATTAATGAATAAGGAAGGGAGATGATATTTTTGTATGGGTTTTAGTGAAAAGAACCAACGAAAAGTATCAACAAATGGGGTTGGCGGGAAAATAGCGCGGGAATAGAAATTGGAAAATAAATAACAATGATAATGAATGAATTATTAATGTTGATTATGATAAGTCAAAGCCAAGAATAATAAAGGAAATATCAATTAAGGAGACTGATGAAATTTACAAAAAAACAACAGCTCTAAACATCATATATGTAAACCTCAGAAAAAAAGAAAAATATGTGAGAAAAAATAGACTATAAAAAATAAGTCTGAGAAAAAAATGTGAAGTAAAAATGATAAAGAGGGAATTAACAAAAACATAAAGTATTAATAGAAAAATAAAGATACGCGAAAAATATATACAAGAAAGAAAAAGGAGCGGTGATATAAAAGGTATATAAAATAAAGGCAGAGTACATATATAGAAGAAAAAATATATATACCAATAAAATATACACGGCATATGAGTGAACCACGGACTCAAATATAGAAAACATATAGAAAATAAAAAAGTAAACATATCAAAATATAATAAAACAGAAAATATACGCAAACAAAAGTCACACAAAATATAATACACAAAACACACAAAATATACTACACAAAACTCACACGAAACAAAACTATTAAAACTACTAAAACACAGAGAACAGCACACAAGACAGAGAGAAAGAAAGAAAGAAAGAAAATAAAAGAGAAAAGCGCGCGGGAAGGCATGTCAGCCGGTCACTCAACGAGAAGCAACGCGCACCTTCTCCTCCGTCGATTATTCTCGTTTATTACCCTTTCTCTCTTATTACCTCCTTATTATTTAGGCGAACTGAAATAGTAGGAAGGTAATGACCATGTAGGTTTGTTTCTAAAACGAATGGTATTGATATTTTGTCCTTTTTTTGAATTTGAATTTCGTAGAGGTTAGATGTTTCATTGTTCTAGATTATTCTATGATAATATGAATTAAATAACATATAGCTATCTATTCATATTTAGAAGCGTTGAAATCTAATGGCATTAGTATTTCATCTATCAAAGCATCTCTTGTCATCAGAAAAGAAAATATTGCACCATATATAAATATTTTCATTAATTGCACCATGTTACATATTTTTTCATTAATTGCACCATGTTATATTTTTTCATTAATATCTTTTGCTGACGTAGAAAATGATATATAGGCCTAAGGTCTATATAAGTACTTATATAGACCTTGTATAGGCCTACTTACAGATGTGCCTATGCCTGTGCACGTATTTATGGTCAATAATATTTTTTTATTCATCAATCTGTAAGTAATATATTTACATGTGTGTGCATACATAAGCATAAGAAGGGGCACATTTGCAAGAATGCACGCCTACACACACAGGCACACACACACATGAACCACACACACACACATGTACATGAACGTTCACACACACACATGTACATGAACGTTCACACACACACACACACATGTACATGAACGTTCACACACACACACATATGCACATGAACGTTTACACACAGATACACACACATGCACATGAACGTTTACACACACACACACACATGACAACACCACACACACACACACACACACACACACACACACACACACACACAACACACACACACACACACACACACACACACACAAATACACACATACACACAAATACACATACACACACAATACACATACACACACACACACACACACACACACACACACACACACACACACACACACACACACACACACACACACACACACACACACACACACACACACACACACACACACACACACACACACAAACAACACACACACACACCACACACACGCACACACACACACACGACACGCACACACACGCACACACACACACACACACACACACACACACACACACACACACACACACACACACACACACACACACACACAACACACACACACACACATATGCACATGAACGTTTACACACATGGACACACACACACACGCACAGACACACACGCACACACACACACACACACACACACACACACACACACACACCACACACACACACACACACACCACACACCACACACACCACACACACACACCACACACAACACACACACACACACACACACACACACAACCCCTCCCCCCACAACCTCCCTCCCCCCACCCACGCCCTCGCTCACCCCTCCAATCCCTCACAGGCGAGGACTGACGATGGATCCTTCGTCCCCGCCGCCCGCAGCCCCTCCAGCCATCCCCGTCGCCGGCTGCCACACGCCCGTCGCCCACACGCCCACTACGGATACTCGCCGCGCCCTTGCTAACACTCCGGCCGCCCACATCACGCCACATCGAACGCGTCCACAATATGTTTCCCCACCACGCCCGGAACATAGGCCTACTCCTTACGCTACGCCCGCCCGAACATAGGCCTACCTCCTTACGCCTCGCCCGCCCGCACCACGCCCAGTCCTAGCACGCCCGCCCACGCCCTCCCATACCCTCTAAGACGCCCACAAAGCGCGCCTTCATACACGGACAGGCCGCCCTCCAGTGCCTTCAGAAGCGAAGCAACCACAGACATGGGCGTGAGGGACATGGGCGTGACAAGCAGGTCCGGCGGGTCCAGCTCGAGCTCCCTGATGGGCGTGGGCGCGGTAGAGGTGCAAGGTGGGCTGGGTGGGCGTCTCGCTAGGGTGTTGAGGAGCGTCCCAGCCTCCGCTATGAGTGGGGGAATGTGGGCGCGACGGGGTACGAGGTGGGTGGGCGTGAGTGAGTGAAGGAGTGTGAGTGAGTGAATATGTGTGATTGTGAGTGAGTGGTAGTGACTGAATGAATGAGTATGTGATTGTGAGTGAGTGAGTGTAAGTGAATGAGCGAGTGAATTGGTGTAAATGAATGCATGTGTGTGAGTGAGTGAATGGGTGTGTGAGTGAATGAGTGGAAGAGTGAATATGTGTGCTTGTGAGTGAGTGTTAGTGAGTGAATGAATGAGTGAATATGTGATTGTGAGTGAGTGAATGAGTATAAGTGACTGAGTGTGAGGGATTGTGGATGAGTGAGTGAGTGAATGAATGTGTTAATACAAGTGTGTGTGTGTGCAGCTGGACGTCAGTGATAAGGAGAAAGCAGTAGTTATCTTTATGCATGAGTAGATGAGCATGACATGGGAGTATCTGTGAGCGTGAGGGAGTGAGTGGTGCAAATGCGTGGATATGGTCGATCTGGTAGTGCGTGAGTGTGTGAGTATGGGTGAGTATGTGCTATGAGTACTCTAGTATTTAGTGAGTATGTGTTGTGAATATGTGCATATGAGTATTCCTGAAAATAACTGATCTGGACTTATTTTATAAGTTCTGGCTGATTTTTTGTATGTTTATATACTTCCTTTCACACGACTATATGTTAAAAGATAGACTTCAAATATCAAAATAACATGACTGCCATTGTAACTTCATTGTTTTTTAACCTCGTGAAAATTGATCTGTTTACTTCCTGTCTCCCCCCCCCCCCCCCAGCCGTCCCCCAACCACAGGCCGGCCACTCCACCTCACACTCCACCTACTTCCACACCTCAGCCTCCACCCTCTGGACTCCTTAAGAAAACCAGGCCAGTGGGAGACAGAAGCATCGACTCTATAACGCAGGGAATAGAGGTCAGATAGGTTCAACGCTCACCGTGCCGCGCCTCCACAACACGCTTTGGCAGCCGCGGACTCGCCC